CCCTCCTAGTCTCATACAAAAGTCATACTCATCTCCTTCTCGATCTCACACGAGCATTGAACTATCCCATTCATGTCAATCGTCTTCTTTCTCACTGTCGCAGAAATCAAAACTATGCCAAGTCTTCTTCCTCTACTGAAACATATCTTTTCCACTACATCTACTCTTATTGTAGATAACAATAAACAATATTTTCTTTTCCAAACATAAAATGATTGGCTTGTTTATTAAGGATTTTTTTTTCTTGAGTATCTGCTTGGTATTAATTTTTTAAACTGAAATTTATATTTTAAAGTTTTCTAAAGATTAGTTAAGGATACAAAAAAGTACAATTAAATATAAAAAAAACCGCCCATAGAAACAAAATGCAAGTTGAAATAGAGGGAGTGACAGCAAATATATTTATTTGAGGTGCAACCGTTGTGATAAAATTATAACAAAATGAAAGAGAATCTCTCTTGCTCGTATAAATTTGTTAAAACTTGTGCCAAGTTGCCCACAGAGGTGAAAGATAAGATCCAAAATTAAATAAATAAGGTGACAATGATGAAGCATTTAGCTCAATAATAAGTTGGTAACAAACCGATATTAAATCACAGTGTGGCGGCGGGCCTAGTAATAAAAATTTATCTTCTTTGCCACAAATGACAAGTGCAGGAGCATGAGAGCGTATGGATCAATAAATGATGAATAAGAAGAATGGCAAGTACATGGATATAAGGGTTGTCAAAGAGGCCAGCAAGTGTGTATATTTAGGGATATTAAAAGATTCTTTATAATAATGCCATTCCATTTGATGAGATAACCTCTACATCTTATGTCAACATTATTCTTTCTATAGATTCCTGTGACCAAAAGGCTTTAAACTACAATCTATACATGAATTGAGAACTTGGATACTAAAGGAAGAATTAAATATCACTAAAAAAACATTGATGTGACTATCATGTCAGATGATTGGCTTGATACAAAGAATAAAGGCTTGATCAATATTTTGATCAATAATTACTCCACAGCATGTTTTTAAAGATATCAAGTTACGCAAAAGTTTAAAAGAATTTTTTTATGGATTCATTGAAGTTATTGGAGAGCATTTGGTAATATAAGTTATTATTGATAATGCTAATGATTATACAACTGACATTAAGTTAACGGTGCAGAAAATTTAACTATATTGGCTACCATGTGCTGAACGTTGAATAGATTTAATTCTCAAAAATTTTGGAGAATTGTCTCAGCACAAGGATACTATACACAAAGGGAGATAATCAAGTTTATCAACAGTCATTTGTCAGTTTTTGGCTTAGATGAAAATATGTCAAAAGCAAGAATCCTTACAACTTGCTACAACCAAATATTCTAAGACGTACTTAGCTCTGCAAAGCATTTCGAAAGTAAGACTACCTTTAGAAGCTATGTTCACATCCGCATAATAGTTACAATATACTTGCGCAAGAAATTTGAGAGAAAAAAACCTTAAAAATTTGTTTTGAAAAAAAAAACTATTGGTTGAGTGAGAGTTATGCAATAAGAAGTTAAGAACTAAGCTTCAAATTAAAGTTTTAAAGATGATTGATACAGATTAAAACCAAGCAATGTGCTTTATTTATAATGCAATGAATGCTGCTAAGAAGTTGATTGCATATAGTTTAAAAGGAAAGGAGTATAACAATAACAAAAATTTGAGAAGTACTAGACAAGTGAGAGCTTCAACTTATTGTCATTTGCATGCCATGGAATATTATGTTAATTTTTAATTTCAATAAGTTAAGAACAAATCAACTAAGGTTGCAATCAAATTTGATTTATATCACTGTATTAATAGATTGATGACTGGCCCAGCTAAGTAAAGGCCAATATGCAAACTAATAGTAGAAATAAAATGGCCTCCTTGAACAGTTAAAAACCAAAGATATAGTTGAAATTTATTTCCAAGGAAATTTTTAACATTTATTAGTTAATATTCTAAAACATATATATATATATATATATATATTAATTTTGTTTTTTTGTCGAATTTAGTTGAATAGTGAATTCAGTTTGATTTTTTTATGTTTCACTCTAGAGCCACAACGGATTATAATTAAAACATTAGGTTTTACATGCTCGTCATTTGGACATGAGCAAAACTAAAGCGTGTATAGTCAAGCTTAGGGCTGTCAAAAAAGCTCGTTGTTCGTGAACAGTTCGTGTTAATACCTTAACCTTTACATCATGTGCATTAAGAGATTAAAAAATAAACATTCGAAGAAAAAAGATTTAGAAGATGATGAAAATATATCAATTTGTTATGACGTGTCATTAAATAATGAATATAATTTGGATGATAATAATAAATTAATACAATCACATTTGTAATAAAAATATATCAATACTGAGTTCTTTAATAGGTATAGAAATAAGATCAATAGATCCTACACAAGTTAGTAAAAAATTAATAGAAATATTTTTACAAAAAAAATTTATGTAATCAAAGTTATAACCATCAACACTCATTATTTTAAACTTTATAATATATGCCTATTTGTTTTTATTGATTAAGAGAAAGGAAGAAGATTGAGAACAAAGATGAGAAAGAATATTTGAAAATTAGTTTCACAAACAAGGATGGGTAAGAGAAAAATTAATTCATTATCGTGATGATTCTATGGAAGACCCATTGAGTGATGAGAGTGTTATAACATAATTTAAAAATTATAATTTTAGTTATTTGTTATGTTCTTACTCTAATGCAGGAATGAAAGACTTATTGTGTTGAATTTACTTTAAATGGTTATGTTTTAACATTGATATCTTATTTTATTTGGATATTTATATGGCTTCATACTGTATGATTAGGTATTAGGTTGCTAATATATCAATTTTAACTTTAGACCTAAATATAAATTTAATACTTCTTACTTCACATAATTTGTTAGTTACAAGGCTTCAACGTCAAAATATCTCAAGACTTGCAACAGAAAACACATCAAGACCCAATTGCTTAATTTTAAACCTTCCCTATTAGTTTTTGTAAGAAAATATCTGAACAAACCTACTAAAAATCACATGGAAAATGTTAGGTACAACTAAATCAAAAAAGACACTGAAAAGAGTTTATTATAAAAAACAATGATAAAACATTTAAAAATCAAAATTTTTGTGTGTTAGTTGGGTTAGAGATGAATTAAACCAAAGATTCACCTCTGGTTATTACACTTATCAGTGCGATAACTTGATTATATTAGAAGCAAAAAAATAATTTGTGGTCTCAAGAAGCAATGCTAGCTGAAGTTGAATATAGGGCAAATGCACTAGAGAATTACAGAAAAATGTGGTTAAAAAAAATTATTAGAACTAGACTATCAAGTAAACAAAAACAAAAAGTGTACTGTAACAACTATGTGACACAAGTATAGAAAAAATTCATGTACGGCGTCACATGACTAAATACATTGAGATAAATTGACATTTCATTTCAAGAAACTAATTCAAAATAAACAAGCACAGCCAAATAATGTTTTAATAAACTCTCAAACTACATATATACTTGCCAAGTCTTTGCTTGGAGTGAGTTTTAATCAACAAATCAACGAGTTAAGCATAATCAACGTAATGTAACCAAGCTTTACAGAGAGTGTTAACATAAGCAGGAATCCATGGCCCACCCTTTCCTATATATATCAACTCAACAATCTGTGGAATACAAGCTTTCATATACAGCAATCCAATAATCTGCAAACAGAAAATTCTATTTATAACATCATGTGGTCCCTGGACAAAAAAATTTCTTCTAGAAAAATCTAATAATCAATGCACAATAAATTTCCATATACAATAATTTAATAATCTTATCATAAAAAATCACTTCTTTTGATTATTTTCTTTTGACAGTAATTTAATAATCTTATCATAGAAAAATCTAATAATCAATCCTGTACATGCAACTGTAAGTAATGTGGCCAAAATTTTCTTTTGCTTGCAACCTTTCAAAAAAGGATTTTGTTTCCTGAATAATAAAAATAATTTTATTTTTAAGTTTGTAGTTCCACCTTTGAAAGCAACAAGCACTTTTCTAGTCTCTTACTTTAAAAAATCCAAATCAGCAATAAAAAAATAGAATAAATATGGTCTATAAAATGCGTTCTTTAAAAAATCCAAATCAGCAATAAAAAAAATAGAATAAATATGGTCTATAAAATGCGTTGACAGATGTAGCCATCACATGTGAAAATTTTCTAGAGCTCAGCTAATATAAAAAAAAAAAATTAAAACTATTACAAACCATTCATGGCCTTTCCGTAAATCCACATAAACTTTAAGTATTAAATATAATATATATGTATAATCTCTCACAAACTTTAATTAGATATATTGAAACAAGGATGCCATGCAATCTACTTAACATGCCCCAAACAAGCATTTAAGAATGAATTCAACAATGTCTAATAGGACATAAATAATTCATTAATTGAGTATCAATTCAGTATTCCAATAAATAGCACACATATTGCATTTTATTCACAAGCACTGTAAACTTCTTATCACAATGGCAGCCTAAATTACAGGGCATCAATACAATCGCAAATTAGTGAAATAGAGATTAAAACAGAGTTACATGGCCTCCATAGCAAGTATGGCTCTATCTAATAGCAATCATGAATTCTAAGGTAATACCGCTTCCGCCACTCAAAATCATGTGCTGGCAAACAAATGAACTTGCCCATCGATTACTTCTTTCTCCCATCCTTGCCACAAAAAACAGACAAACATCTTCCTCCATGCCTCTTAAACGGTATCCCAACAAAACTCAAAATCGGCCTGAAAGTTTCCCTTCTATAAATGACAACTGGAAATTGGATGTATAACAATAAAGACAATCGAAAACCTAAACAAAAATTCAAAGTGCTGACAGTGTTTCGCAAGAAACTCCAAATATAGATATCCCTAGAAGGATTTAAAAACCCAAAAATACTGAAAAAATCCAAACAAAATCAAGCCAAGCCATTCATAAACCCTACCAAGAACGAACAAGCTGCAACACAAGATCAACAAAAAACAAAACTCAAACACAGAACAGCGGCTGCATACAAGAAACACGATCCGGATTGCCCTCGCGCGACTAAGCGGGTAGGGTTTCCGCAGAAAAATATACCCGATGAGTATTTTACTTAATATTTGCCCTTCTAACCTTTATTTTATGGGAGCCGTACAGAAATACCAAAGAATTCATTTGTATTTACATATCTAACCCCTAAAGTTTAATAATTACAATTATTCTGTTTTAGAAGCATAAACAAACGCCTACTTTAATGATATTTTAGATTAGTGTTATGTATGCAAATATGTGGTGTTAGATCTCTAAATGCATTAAAAATGTTATGTGACCCATCTTTCATTTGGGCCTCGTAGTGGGCCGCTATGGGTAGCCCAATCCATGGCCATAAAAAAAGAACTGAGATTATAGTGGCATCATGATGGAAATAACATGATGCAATTGGATAGAAATTTAATATTAATAAGTTTTGGATGACATCTAATTAAAATGAAAATAAGGGCAGACCAAGCGTTTGCTCATCCTAAAATTTGAAATTCCTTGTGAAATTTACATACATGTCCCACAATTATATATTTACACTTACACGCCGTTTTTCATAATCTGCTAATAAGTGCTAACCAAACGGGACGGAGGCGTTTTCAAAACACCGCCCGCACTTTTAAGTTGCTCCAAACAGGTCCTAACACCTTGGCATCATAAGCTTGTGCATGAAAGTATGTATTTCATTTAAAAAGGATAAAGATTGTGATATTTTTTTTGTGATTAAAAAGATTGAGTGATATGCATATAAATATTAATGTTTAGAGGTTAGATATGTAATTACATTACAATTGTGTGGTATGTATGTAATTACATTTAAGTCTTAGTCCCAAGTTCTGTGAATAGTGAAATCTCATAGGGTTCAAAGACATGTAGTCTATATCCTTAAATGCTTATTAACATTAATGTTTAGAGGTTAGATATGTAAATACATCACAATTGTGTGGTATGTATGTAATTACATTTAAATTTTAGTCCCAAGTTCTGTAAATATTGAAATCTCATAGGGTTCAAAAGACATGTAGTCTATATCCTTAAATGCTTATTAATTGGTTCAATTTGCATATTTGTTGACACATAAGCGTTTGAGCCCAACTCTTTAAAAACTATAATTTGCTGGTTTTAATTGGATGTAAATGTAAAAAAGCTCTCTAGCTAGTTTATTGGCAGCTCATGAGCTTTTCAAGAGAAGTAGAACTCCCAATAACTAAAATATATCTCTTTAATAATACTTATTTGAATTTTAGCTTTCACATTTTTATTTTATATAAAAAATGAAATTATTACTTGCAATTATGAAAATAAGCATTTATAATTATGAAAATAAGCATTTATAATTACAAAATTTCACATATTTGGGCATAGAAATTATTGTAAATCTCTTATGATTTTATTAAAAGTACTTCTCTTGAAATTAATAGTGCAATTATATCTTATGCATGTATATGTCATGCAAGCTTTTTATGAAGCTACAATTTTTGTACTTAAAATAATTAATTCTCTCTATATTTTTTAATAAACTTAAAAATCTAAAATTTTAAATTTTTAGAGCGAATAATAATATAGAAATATTATGATATTATCATAAATTTTGATGAGGATTTCTCAATATCATGAAAATTACATGTATAAATTGTGTAAGCCATCTCCTAAATAAGGTTCTCCGACACTGAAGTCTTTATGGCAATGTATCATATAGGCAATTCATGTAAATATCTCCAAAAAGCACAAAAATTAAAGCATGCAAAGTTTATACAACTGTTTCATGCATAAACTCACCTTCAACCATGATAAAATAGATATCATGAACTTTATACTGAACAAATTTTGTGAAGTAAGATATATATAGATGGCACTCTTCAGTCACTCTTTAGTGAGACTAGTGATGAACTGAGAGTGCGAGAGAGATTTCAAGATAGAAAAGTTATTAGATAAAAGAGAAAATATAGAACTCTATTTTAGTTAAAAAATTTAGAAAAATATAAGAATTCATATTCTAGCCATGTATTTAAGATATTGAATCAAATATTTATAATAAATATGAGATCTCAGTCATATTATATAAAGATATAATCAATAAGAAATCTCAGTTCCACATAATCAACATAATTTATTTCTCAATCATGTACATTGCAAGAAAGGCATATAACAACATAGCATATGTACAATGCTTTGACGGCAATAGATCCAAGTTTCTATAAAAATAAGACTAGTGATTAAGAGAGACAATGCACATCTATAGGATGCGAGAAAATTTGCTGCCCTGGTGACAATATTGCTTTGGGATCATATTTGTTTTTCATCTCAACAAATCTCTTCCATTTCTTACCAAAATGCCTCATCCAACCCTCTCTGGTCGTGTAATGAGGCAAATATTGCTTATAGTTCATGCCCAGTTGATCACAGAAATTTAATATCTTAGCATTTTGGTTCTTCAAACTCTCCAAATCATTCCTCTCTGAAGATAGTAAGATTCCTATCGAATAAAACACTTCTTCGTCTGGAATTGCTGTTGACATCCTTTCATTCCATCTGTGCATAAATCATACAGTTTACTATTTCAATTAGAAAATGAATTTAATTATGTATCATATTTGGACTGTGATTATATATATATATATATATA